ACCTAAAGGAGCGCCTGCGTTCATATATGCCCTCCCGCATCTTGGGATCAGCAGCAGATGCCCTTCCCCGGGAACCCTCCATGAAGGCTATTAGGAGGGTGAGGACTTGGAGGAGGGCTTTCTCTGCGGTGGCGCCCAACCTATGGACTGCGCTCCCCAGAGAGGAGCGCATGGCGTCTTCGTTATTCGTTCTTTGGCGCCAGGCCAAGACCTTTTTATTTAAACACTGTTTTAATAGTTAAGGTTTATTTGTTGATTTTAAACTGACCAAGCAGTTTCGACTATTTTATATATTTTGTTTATTCTATCATTGTTTGTTTTTTGTATTTATATGCGGGATTTTAATTATTGTAAGCCTTGAACTGCATCAAAGAACCCACACTGGAGAGAAGCCATACAAATGCATGGAATGTGGAAAGACCTTCAGTCGGAGTGAACATCTCATAAGTCATCAAAAAACCCACACTGAAGAAAAGCCATACACATGCATGGAATGTGGAAAGACCTTCAGTCAGAGTGAACATCTCATAAGTCATCAAAATACCCACACTACAGAGAAGCCATACAAATGCATGGAATGTGGAAAGAGCTTCAGTCAGATTGGAAGCCTTACTCAACATCAAAGAAGCCACACAGGAGAGAAGCCGCACACATGCATGGAATGTGGAAGGAGCTTCACTTGGAGTAGAGGCCTTACTCAACCTCAAAAAACCCACACTGGAGAGAAGCCGCACACATGCATGGAATGTGGAAAGGCCTTCAGTCAGAGTGGAACCTAACTATGCATTAAAGAACCCCCATTGGAGTAAAGCTACACACATGCATGGATTGTGGAAAGAGCTTCTCCTGGAGTCGAGGCCTTCCTCAACATCAAAGAACTCACACTGGGGAGAAGTCATACACATGCATCGAATATGGAAAGCGCTTCAGTGAAAAAAGAAAACATAGACAACATCAAAGAACACACACTGAGGAGAAGCCATACCCATGCATGGAATATGGAGAGAGCTTCAGCCAGGAATACTCTGAGGTACCAAGTNGAACTCACACTGGGGAGAAGCCATACACATGCATCGAATATGGAAAGCGCTTCAGTCAAAATGGAAAACATACAGAACATCAAAGAACACACACTAAGGAGAAGCCATACCCATGCATGGAATATGGAGAGAGCTTCAGCCAGTAATACTCTGAGGTACCAAGTGAGAACTCATCTGCTTAGGAGCCATCAATGAGCCCAAGGGAAAGGTTCCTAAATTCATGTACTGAGGGTATAAAATGGAGGGTGAGGCGTTTTTCCCGGAGGAAGGTAGCTAGTCGGGGGCCACAGGTTTCAGTCCTGGCCTAGTGCTCTTCAACATATTAATCAATGATTTAGATGAGGAAGCACAAAAGAATAGATGAACAAATTTGCAGATGATGCAAAACTGGGTGGAAAAAGAAACACCCCAGAAGACAGAAGCAAGATCCAGGGTGGACCTGATCGACTTGGACACTGCACTGAAAGCAGTGGAATGAGAGTCAGTTCGGGCACGCTCCAAGTCCTCCATCCGGGAAAAAGAAACCGAATGCATTGATGCAAGATGTGGAATACGTGGCTCAACAGAAGTGAAAAGCAAAAGGACCTGAGAGTCCTTGGGGACAATGGGCTGATCAGGAGCCAACAGGGCGATGCAGCCACCAAATCAGCAAATGCTATTTTGGGATGCCTTAACTGAAGTATTGCTTCCAAATCATAATAAATAGTACTTCCCCTATACTCCTCACTAGTCAGACATCATCTGGAGAACGGTGTCCAGTTCTGGGCACCAAGCTTTAAGAACAATGTGGAAAAATTAGGGTCTGGAGGAGGGCAACAAAACGGATCCAGGGTTTGGAAACTCTGCCCCATGAGGAGAGTAGCAGAAGGGTAGTAGAAGGGACAGGTGGAATTTCGGACCGGTTAGGCTTACGGCTTCCGCAAAAACAGGTCATGCCAGACAAACCTTGTGGAATTCTACGACAAGGTTTCACGATGGCTAGATGGAGGCGATGCAGTGGATGTGGTATACCTGGATTTCAGCAAGGCCTTTGACAAACTGCCCATGATATCCTGGTGGAGAAACTGAAGAGTTTTGGGATAGACCAAAGCACTGTCCAGTGGATTAGGGCAGGGTTGACTGACCAAAATCAGAGGGTAACCATTAGTGGGGAATCATCAGGATGGCGGCCAGTGACAAGCGGGCTCCCCCAGGGCTCAGTCCTGGGGCCGATCCTGTTAAATCTTTTCATTAATGACATGGAAGAAGGGGAGAGCAGTCTGCTGGTCAAATTCGCAGCCAAGACTAAAACTGGAGCAGTGGCCACAACTGAGGAGCAGGTACTCCAGATCCAGAAGGATCTGGAAAGACTATGGAAGTGGGCAGGGGACAACAGGATGAGGATAAGTGCAAGGCCTTGCACTTGGGACATAGGAATGGGTGTCATAGGCACAGGTTAGGGGTCAATGGCTGGAGAGCAGCACTTGTGAAAGGGACCTCATAGTGCTGGTTGACTGCAGGCTAAAGATGAGTCAGCTTTGTGATACCGTGGTCAAGAGGGCGAATGCCACCCTTGGTTGCATAGACAGAAGTGTGGCTTCTAGATGGAGAGAGGTATTACTACCAATCTATATGTCTCTGGTGCGCCTGCAACTGGAGTATTGTGTTCAGTTTTGTGCCCCTTGTTAC